AGGCGGCTCCTCCGAACTCACGTCGTTGTTTCGCCATGGGGGACGACCGGCACCGGGTTCCCGAGGGCAGCTCTGCGAGGCCCGGCTATGCCCTCAATACAGCTTGCAGAAAGAGATGGCTCAAAAATCTCTTGTATAGGACATCTTAGGAATCCCACGACCAGTGGTGGAATGGACATTTCAGAACGGATCACGACGGATCTTTGGACCAAAATCGGGTTTCGGGATGCTTCGAGATGTTTCGAAGGTCTGTATCTTTGCAAAAAACGAGGATCCGCTGATCCACGGATGGATTTATTTGGGGATGAAGGAGATGAAAACGCAAGAAGACCCCGTGAGTCACTCGGGTCAAGGAAGAGTCGAAGGGGTCCACCCTGTGGAACTCGATGCAGCTTGTATCACTACCTGTGTTGCAGGCGGAGTTTGGTGAATCTGCTGAAGGGTTTTTCTTGTAGACCCTGTTGACCCTGTTCCTGTCCTGATGTCTATTTTAGGTGAGGGTATATTAAAAAGCAGCCCAGCATAGTGGCGCTTGGCTGGCATCGTTTCACGGTCTCCGAGTGACTTGTGAGGCCGGATCATCAAACATCGTTGTTTTCAGGTGGTGAATCATCAGCTGCGATATGACTATTCTGTGGATATGTGATCAAAGCTGAAGCGACAACACTAATATGTCTGAGGGCTGCCCGAGTGTAGCTAGCATTTATTTGCTTCACCCACAAACATCTCCTATAGGAGGGAACCATGCTCCATCTACACAAACGAAAGATCCAACACTCATGGAAGGTGGGTGGAACATGGTGGAACATGGTTCAACCTACGCGTTGTTGGTCACAGGCAGCAACCCAGCTGCTTGTGACCTTTGCATGGACTTCATGAAGACGGTCCGACTTCTGGTTATTCTGCAAGAGACTTGCGAGAGGTTCCATGCTTCAGTGGCGCATTCCACCCGCCCGCGGCTTCCTCTCAATCGGCCAGGCCGGAACACGCGGCCGGCCAGGCAAGTGCGCCGCCCGGAGCGTGGACGGACGCGGGACGCGGGAGGACGTGGAGCTGACCGGAAGATGCGGAGGAGCTGCCCGGACACGTGTGGGGCCAGGCGGCCAGGTGTGGGGGTCTTGGATCCTGGGTCATGTGGATCCTGTGAGGTCTTGGATCAAGCCTCCAGCGGAGTCAGATTCATCTGGCAGTCGCACTCCGAAGCGAGTTGTTGAGATGTTTTGCAGCGGCAAATGGCCATGAGGGTTTCATTTCGGGAGTTGAATGGTGAAGCGATGGTTCTTGACATCATGCCAGACATCAGTGGTTGGGAACTTAAGGAGAGAATCAAGGAGTGCCAGCCCTGGGACGCTGAGCTCACACGCAAAACAACCCGGGTGGACATCGTGGTGGGGGAGAGCAGATTGCTGACGAACGCTGAGACAGCTGCAGACGCTGGCCTTTCTCCAGAATCAGAAGTGACTGTCGTCTTGAGACAAAACACCGTGACATGCTCCCACAAAGATGAATTATTTGCCCAGTGTGGTCAGGAGATTGACTTTGAGTCATTCTATATAGTTCAAATCCCAAGCGGTGCCACTGAAATTGTCCCACTAGCCTTTGTAGGGTGCAAAAAATTGGCAAGTGTGGCCATCCCCAACTCAGTGTCGCAGATTGGGCATGCAGCCTTTGAAGATTGCGACTCCTTTTCAAGTGTGACCATTCCTGAGTCAATGACTCAGATTGGGGATCACGCCTTTTCAGGATGCAGCTCGCTGGTAAGTGT